TTTAATACTCAACTAGGTTAATAAAGACAAAACTATAGCGTATTTACAGATGAAACTGACCTGCACTTGAAGCCCTGAACAGGTCAGTGATGTTGCTACATTTCACTGCTTCTTCTGGCCGCTTCCTCTCTTTCATCGAGTCCCGCGCATCAGTTCTGTTTGGAACCGTTTGACGGAAGCGCGGAAAACACGTGAGCTGATTCGTATAGTGCAGCGCTGTCAGTCAAAACGAACCGATTTATGATTTATTATCGAATGACAAAAACGGAATGATCACTTTGGTACATTGAGAAGGCATAAATATAAAATATTAATAATAATAATAACTTAAAAGAAAAAAAAAAACAGGGCAGCGGCCCAAATAAGCCGCTAGGCCACCGGGAATTCTCCCGGTGCTCCCTATGGCCAGTCCAGGCCTGCTGACAGAGAGTGACATTTGCTCTCATTCAGAGCTTCTGCTTGTTTCGTTCAATTATATTTTATGTAGTATAGTTTCACAAATCTAAAGTCAGACAATTCTGTTTTTGCTTCAAATTGAGAAATTATGCAATCTAATTACAATCTAAATAACATGTATTTAGCATCTGTGTTTGGATCGTAATTATAATGCAGTGGTTTCCTCTGATTTTAAATGGAAAGAGCACAGGCAAAGCCTTTGTTTATATGAAGAGATTTCTTTTATTTGCATTATTTAGTTGTTTGATTTGGGATTTGTTTTAAAATTTCAAGTTAGTTTTTATTATTTGACATATTTCAATTTCACAAAGAAATATGAAGCACTTTGTCTGAGAAATAATAAAAGGCAGCTTTTCATTTATAATTTGTCTTAAATCACATTTTGCTAAAAAAAATTGTGAGAAAATTATTGTGAAATCGGTATCATGAATCGTATCGCATTGTGAGTTGAGTGAATCATTAAATCCCATTATGCTAGTTTTTGCTGTGGTATTGAAGTAAAGTGTTTTTTAAATAATGGTATTTAAAAAATAAAGAACTTTTTTTTTTCTTTTGCTCATCCGAAAAATGATCCGATCTGTCACTCAAAATCTGTAATATGATCCGAGCCTAGGGTTGTGTATCGTTTCAATTTGACCAATTCCGATTCCAATTCTGCTTATCGACTCCGATTCTTTTCGATTCCCAGTTTAGATTCCAATGTGATTAAATAATGATATCAAACATTAATCATGTGTTTCTTTTTTTACAAACCATTTATTGGAGCTGAATACCATGAACAAAAATCAACAGGCTCTTTAAGAGCTGTTTGTGTGCAAAATAGAACTGCATGATTCTGTATAAATTGAGGGTTTTCTTTCTTTTTTTCCCAAATGGAAGTGGTGGTTCTCTCATGATTCTGAATAAAAAACATTAGACAACTAAACAAAATCATATGTAGTTTATGAATGAATGATTAAATGGCTCACTCAAGATGTACTTGTTTCATTACAGGATGAATCAGCGTTCTTGAATGAATCTCTTGTATGATTCAAAGACAAATACATTTTAACAGCCCCTTTTCGCCACCTACTGGCGTAACAATGTAATCGATAAATCTTCATTTGAAGTGTCAAATTACATTAAAAAGGTGATTTACTCTATTTTAATCGCTACCATACACATCGTACACACAGTTTATATCTGAACTATAAACTTTTATCCCAGTACTTCTGTGATTTGAATGTTTGTAACACAGAAATAATGATACTGTGTGGCTGAAAAGACTGTGAAGCGGTTTCATTCATGATAGACAGCTGCTCTCTTTAGGTCAACGGCAGCGCAAACACAAATTTAAATGTTCAAATCACACTGATGTGATCTTACGCTGCACGGATGAACCAAGTGATCACAACATTGATCGCACACGTCAAAGGTTGAGGAATGAAACAGACGAATCATTATAATTTAGGAATAGAATCACGTTGGTGTTACCCAGCGGAACCAAATATTTCAGGCCGGTGTTACAATAGGGCCTTTCGCACCGCTTTAGTTCTAGAACTAAAGCGGTGCGAAAGGCCCTAATATATTCAGTTCCTGAAATATTTGGTTCCGCTGGGTGGCGCTTACGTGAATATTCATCAGGAAACCCCATCATGGGCGGGGCCATCCAGTACAGGCGAGTGGAACAGAAATGATTAGCGTAAGCGCCTCATATCGCGTTTTGTCTTATGGATTATTTCAAGCAGGTAATAAAGTTGAACGAAGTTAAGCTTAAACTACTCCTATGACTGTTTACATTTTGTAAATTATTAATCGTTTCTGTTACATGTGTTTCTCAGTTACTCTGTCTGTGTACTACCTGAACGATTACAGAACTGATCACTATTTAGGTAGCGTTGGAAGACAACTACAATAAAGGCATATTTCTCTGAATTTCTCCCAGGTTATTTGTTGACATTCTATGACAGTAGAACTGTACGTTTTTCATAAATGACTGAGATTAAGCT